TTTACCGGAAATCTATCCAAGTTGATTGAGAACACAGACTCCCGAGTTCCTCTGAAAATGCGAAAATAGGATGTGATATTTTTCATTTTTTCAATTGCAAATAATTCCACGCTGGTAGTGCAATGACTTGTGTAAATGTATTTACTCATGTTATTTGATAAAATCATATTTTATAAAGTTCATTCCAAAAATCTAAAACAAATTGCTGCTGTTACTACTCAAATGAATGAACAAAACTTTTATTTAATTTCTCTCTTATTTTAATTACATTAACATTATTTTATTAATCTCTATTGAGCACAAAAGGATCTTAATTACTTGGCTTCAGATTTATGTTGACACAAGTTCCCATTTTGTCTAAAAAATGAAAACAACACGTTATTAATTTCATGCGTCCGATGTGCTTTTCTTGATTAACCTTCATTCACAGCCGAATATTTGAAAGCCAAGGATGTATAAGAACCGAAACAGTTGAAGAGATACATAACCAAAAAGGATCTAAAATATAACAAAATCCATCTAAGGTCAACTTTGCCTGAGGGAGTTGAAACCTCAGTTTCTTAATAATTTCAAAATTTATAAACGGACAAATTTTGAAAGGTTTGTTATAAAACATGTCGTACCGAAGTACTAACTACTGAGCTGATGATACCTTCAGGGACTGATAGTCCACCAACAGAGGTCTAAGTTTGATACTGTCAACCTGAAAAATTAAACTAGTGGAGATGGAATTTTTTTCTTTTGTAATTGATAGGTAAAGTGAACATGAAATCATGTCGTCTGCGTATATATTCATTCCACACAGCCAAACGATAACTCCAACAGCTATAGTCTTACTGTCGGTTCCATGCCCAAAACCTTCTTTGAGAAGATTTTCATAAATTGACAAATATTTTACTGATTATTATTCTTTTCCTTAGTTTACAGAGATTTTGTATATCATAAATTCCTTCTATTTTGTATAACTTTTTTTCTCGAACGTTTACCTGTAACTAAGGGCATAAGAACGATGGCAGTAAATATGTACCTTTTTAAAGTCTGAGTTATGCCGCTTAATCCAACGAACATTATTTTTAAGATCTAAACCCGATGTCTAAAAATATGTGTTTGGTGTAATTGTTTTTCGATCTTTTATTAGTGAACGTGTTTATTTTGTTCTTTTAAGTAATAAATAAATTTACATATCATTATGAAACAATAATAATCCTTTTACTTTTAAAAATTAACTAAATTCCGAAGTTACTTACAAAATATGTGGTATGCATTTGAACTAGACTATCATAAATATCACAGGAAATTCTTGCTCTTTCGACACTATGCGTTAATCTCAGTATTAATTGGTTTGTGATGTCCAGTCTTTAATTCTCTGTTAACTGTTTTCCTGATTGTTCTTTGATTGTTTGTTTTTTTGGGGTTTGTTTTTCTTGTTGTTTTTTTTTTGGGGGGGGTGTCCTAGTAGAACTTAAGATGAAATTAATGCATTTTTACACCACAAATTCTGCATACCAGTAAACTATTTTTCTAATTTTGTTTCGTCTTCATTGATTTGATCGATTCAACAAGTAAATTGAGATGATGGTTTCTTACGTATTGTACCAGTAACTTATTTATGTGTTTTTGCTAATGGATCAATGTCGACACTTGTTTTGGTCACATTTTTGTTTTGTGTTACTACATTTCATTGATAAAACGTTAAAACTTTAAATGCTGCACAACCCATCATATTTCATTCATTATTACCACTTGGTCACTAATGTTAATGTATTTTACACTAATGTAGTGCGACAAGTTTACAAGGGGTGTGAATCAGATATTGGTTTTAAAATGCATAAGACTATGACATCTTCATCCTTCAATAACAATTACAAGAGCGTCAAAATATTTAGAAAATCGTTTTCTTTTCTTTTCTTCCAAAAAAGGAGAGTGTACATTGTATTTTGTTTGATAAATAATTAATTGACAAATAGTTAATCTGTCATTACACCTTGAGCACTAAACTACATTGTCATATTTAAAATTTACTATCTACTACACCATTTTTTTGCGTCTATGTTAGATTAATTTGTATGTTTGTTTGATTTTTTTTTAGTCAGTTGTGTTGTATATCTGTGTTGTATGTTTACACAGTTGTGGCTGCTGGATTCCTACTACTGTCACATTATGTCTGTTTGGGTTGCTTTCCCAATTTTGTCAATATAAAGGAACTCTAAACAACTTTCATACAAGTGTGAGGTTTAGCTAGCTATAAAAAAAGGTTAATCCACCATTTTTGTCGGGAAATGCATGTACCAAGTCAGGAATATGGCAGTTGTTTTTCCACTTGATCGGTTGGTTGAAAGCTTTTGATTTTGTCAGTTTTTAAGGACTTCCCCTTTTTGAATTTGCCTTGAGTTCGGTATTTTTGTTATACTTTTGTACAACTATCCGCTGTAGTAAACCCTTTCGAGTTTTTGCCGTAGACAAATATTTTGTCAAATATTCTTGAAAAATGAAGAATAAGGTTAGTCGTATAAAATCTCGAAAAATCAATCCAGATATGAAATATAACTTCAAAATGACAAAAAGTAACACTAATGGTAATGTACAGGTTAATTTGCACATATATGGAGTCCAACGATTGAAAACACAAATATCATGTAAAATTATGTAGGAAATAACAATTTACTGCTTAAAGGAATATTAACGATAATTAATTAAAACAAATGATATTTCTTGATGTGAAATCAATTTTATACAACCAACTGTTACTATATCCTACGAGCAACAGATGGAACTTAAAATCAAGATGAGCAACAAAAACTTTCTTGGTTTATTGAAGCAAATAAAATGCATTAGATTAAGATTGAAATTATTCTGATTACAACAAATATATTAGGGATGGTCGGTTCGATAGTCTTTTTATAGCATGCACATGGTATCTATTACCTAAATTCAATAAAACCTGTTACTTCATTTTTAAATTCTAACTTTAATTGAGAATATGTCATTATTCTCTATACATAAAATGTTCAAAGTAGTTAAAGTTTTTTTAAACTTTATTTTTATGATTATAAATCAGAACACAAAGAAATGTCGTGAAAACGTCAATGCAACTAAAATCACTAAACAACAAAAATATTATGAAGCCACAATAATAATCAATTATAAAAAAATACTTATATCATATCAGTACAATGACTACAAACAAGACAATAGTAATCAAATGTGGACTTTTGACGAGGTCAATACATTATATATGGACCAGTTCAGATTATATTGACTGAGAACGAAGTCCGAGTGTCAATATTATCGAACCTGTCCAGATATGACGTATTGACGGAGTGAAAGCCCTTAATTTAACTATTATTTATGTAAATAGTGTATCATGGAAATGGACTCCAAACTCAGTAAAGACCCATCTAAATTGCATTTAATTGATAAATTCAACATCACTTACCGTTATCTGGATATTTTTTCGTAAAATAATCAAGAATTTTCTAAATATAATGCCAAAATTTAACCTAAGGAACTTACTTTAAATAAACCAAATATAAACGGTCACAACTGTCCTTTCCTAGATTTAGAAATTTCAGTTTTACACGGGAAACTATAAACTAAGATCTCCGACAAAAAGGACGATTTTTCGTTCCCTATTGTTAATTTTCCTATTTTGGACGGTGATGTACCTTTGGCACCATCTTACGGTGTTTATATATATCACAACTTGTTCGATATGCCCGTGTCTGTTGTGAGGTTTTGGATTTCAATGAACGTAATCTATGTATTACTGGTAAATTATTCAGTCAGGGATTTCGTTACCACAAATTACTTAAAACCTTTCCTAATTTCTTCCATAGATATAAAGATTTGGTTTTGAAGTTTGGTTGTACCTGTAGAAAACTTATTTCGTACGGGATAGGATAGCACATCCAATTTTTTACACAGATGTTGTTTACCGAGCCCGGAAATTTAGAAATGATCCGGGTAAACTTATCGATCCTTTAAATAAACTTATTCTAAAAGGTTACCAATTCAACACTGTAATTAGATCTTTGAATATTGTTTTTATTGGTTTTTTATATTGATTTTGTTATCAGTAAATTAAAATCAAACTAAATATTATTTTTATATACATGTGCAAATTAATGGCTCTACTATATGTCGATACCTGCATCTTGGCATTGCACAAGGTCATGTTTTTCTCTGACTGTTAATGACGTCTTTACACTAAATCCATTGGATGTTGGATGTGTACTGATTGATATTTTAGTCTTAGTTGCATGATTTTTTTTATTAGTTGTTATTGGCTTTGAACTAGCTCCCAGTAACTGCGAGTACTCTCATATCTGTGTTTAGTGTCTTTTTGTTGTGGGCATGTATAAGTACCCTGCCACGTCCACTCTGTGTTTTTGTTAGAAGTATTTCTATTTGTATCCATCTGATGAGTTAAGCCTTTTTCAAATGATTTCTATAGTTTGTTCTTATGTTGTACTGTTACACCACTGTCCCAGGTTAGGGGAGGGTTGGAGCATTCAAACTAGTTTAACCCCGCCACATTCTGTATGTACTGTCCCAAGTCAGAAGCCTGTAATTCAGTGGTTGTCGTTTGTTGTTGTGTATCATATTTGTCTTTCGTTCATTATTTTATACTTAAATTATGCCGTTAGTTTTTTCGTTTGAATTGTTTTACATTTGTCATTTCGGGTTCTTTTAAAGATGACTATGCGGTATGGGTTTTGCTCATTGTTGATGGCCGTACGGTAACCTATAGCTGTTAATTTCTGTGTCATTTGGTCTCTTGTGAAGAGTTTTCTCATTGGCAATTATACCACATCTTCTTATATTTATATTCAATGTCCTTTCTGTGTAATCTAGTTTGTATTTAGGAATTTTTTTAATATTGGCCGTCAATATATGTATATAGATATATGTAGAAACAGAGCGTCCATATACTTTTTTAAAAAACAAGGCTTAATGTATATGGAATACCCTTGAATCACGTGATCATAATAACCAATGAAAACAGAAGAATGTTACACTTTATGTTATATAAAATAATATCCAATTCAATCATTGCTGCAGTCACTCACTGAAAACTACATGAAAGTGTGTCAGATGCTTATGAAAATCATGTCATTATGATTTCAACATCGGCAGGTTTCACACAGCAACGTTATAACCTTCTTTTTTGGCAAGTATTCAAGTCTGAAGGGGAGTGCGAATCGAAATGTTATAGATTCATGTTCCATTTCATTACCAAACTGCAACACTGATTAATAAAACAGTCGAACTTCGTCATGTCAAAGTCAAAGGAACCGTATTTATTCGACTTATCCGAGGTTCGACTCATCCGAGGTTGAGTGTGTCGTCATAAATTTGGAATGCATGAAATACGGTATGAGATTTGTGTAAACTAGATACTTTGAACAGTGTGTCTTTTTCGATATGACACTTTATAATTGTGTATTCAATTTCAGTATTGTTTGGTCTTTAATAATCATTAAACACACAAGTACAGATATAAAACATTCACTATAAATTATGTATTCGCTCGCGGAACGAAATAAGTTCTGAACGGTCTCTCATGAGGTCGTCTGCTTTGCATTAAATTATTATCAATTTACCATAATTGTCTTCATCCTTTTTTTTTTACTGTAATTAATGAATTTTAATTCTAAAGATTCATTCAATCTCGACTTGGGTCATTCAAATTCGTTTCGGTTTTTTGTGGGGAGAAATATGTTCAACACACTACCGTTCCGCTTGGACAATCAAAAAGGGTTTTAATTACCGGTCACCATAAATATGTCATTTTAGTTGTCATACAAACAAGTATGTTTACACAGCTTTTATCTCTTTTGAAAATGATTTGGTAACATCCGATTTGAATTTTTATCATAAGGTCTGCATCTTTCGAAAATGCTTACTTTTGAACTTCGAGACATCAGTGTCAGTTTACATTAATTTTACATCTACAGAATTATAAAATTTACTCGACTTAACCGAGTATTCGAATCAACCGAGTTTGACTCATTAGAGGTAAATATGCATTGATCAAAAGTGGAATTTTGCCGGGACCCAGAAATTACTTCGACTCATCCGAATTCTTGACACAACGAGGTTCGACGGTATCTGTATTCGCATGAAGCACTTGCTTTCAGAAATCTGTAGCAAATCTATCATATTGTTTTCCTTGTGCGTTGCGAATATGCCATGAAACATGCATCCGTTAACTTAGCAATGTATATATGACATCTTATATTATTTTCAGCACATTATTTATAACTTTCAATTATCTAATTTTGTTCTAATAGTTATTCATTCATATGAATCTCTAAATAAGATGTCACAATTCTTACTACAGTTTATGGTCACGGAAAACATAAATCTTGAAAGGAAATGAGCAGATATTAAAAGCTACGATTAAAACAACATGGAAACTTCAATGTAAATTAAGATTCACTCATTTGACAAATTCAAAAAGTAATTACAAAAAATGTGGCGTTCTTTCACAAAGCCGATGTTGGCCAACAGGTGTAAACTTGCACATATCATACTTTGCAGGTGACGTATCGTCTGAATATTCATGAGAAGTTGTTTGAATTTCCATATGTGATAAACAATTCTGTTGTACTCTGTCACAATCACGCCAGTTACTTGGTCTACTTTGCCTGACCTCTTCGATATTTACATTTTGAAGAGGCAAATCATACGGATGTACATTTTCAGGAAATATAGTCTGGTTTTTGAAATACGACGACGTTGCAGATCTTGGCTGGCAAAATTTCTGGCTATATATCACAGGTTCTCTTCTCCTTTGATTATGCCGATGATTATTTAATGGATATCTACGGATAAAGCGTTGATTTATTGACATAGGACCATCTGAAATCGGCTGTTCCTGTAGTGTTCTTGTAGGATATGTCCGGTAATTTGCATAAGGAATAACTGGTCTTATATTGCTCTTAGAATGTATTCCATCGGAAATTGTTCTGTGCGTGCGTCGTGATAATGGAAAATTTGCTCTATCATATTCATTGCATGTTTGTTGATCTTGCAACATGATACATGAAGGAAACCCATGTTTATTTTCATTAATTTTGGAAGTAAAACAATCGGCAATTTCTCTATTTCTTTCATTGATAACATTATATTGACCGATTGATAGGGGGTACTGTGTATGATTGCCTAATTGATGAGTGTGTATGCAGGTCCTTTGAGCTGATTTCTCTGATCCATGATTAATGTATTCTTTATTGTAATTGTTTTGAGAAGGATTCAATGAAGTCATTCTTACACCCTGATGGTAGCTTTCATTGTTAGTCGCCAATTTTGTCAACAGTCTGTGATCATTTTTAACGTCGACTCTGTTGTCCACGGGAAACAAATTCCGGTAATGATGTTGCTTTTTTCCGGATATTTGTATTCCAGGATATAGCTTTTGTGTACATTGCTTTGTTTGTATATGGTAGGTGTTACCCTTACTAATTGATTTGTAGTTTGCGTTTTCATTTTTGTGACTGTTTATAACAGCTGGAAGTTGCGGATATACGACAGGCCTAATTGGTTGAGATGTATATCCAGAATACATTATCTTGTTATCAACAGAAGTACCTTGATATACAACCTCATCAATAAAATGTTTGAAATGTTCTTTACACGGGTTCGTTGAACCGACGAAAACTTCCTGCTTGCGTAAAGGTACCAGTGGCGATTTTCTCATTGAATTGCAGATCCTTTTATTATCCGTACACATTTCATCAATAATGAATACGTCATCGTCTGAAGACTGTATTTTGGTTTCATCGTTAACGGCATGTTTATCGCAGGAAGAACTCACAGCTATTAACTGTTGTGTTTTCGATAAACGACAGTTTAATTCTGGTTTGCCTGTTACGGGCATAATTTTAGAAGTTGTTGGCTGAGCCCCATTTGTCTTTTTAGGAGATTGTTTTGTTTGATATAATGATGGATCATGACTATCAAATGGTGATTGAATATCTCCTGTTACTTTGTCAACGTTTTTTATATAGCTGATGTTAAAACCAGTTTTATTTGAGTTAATAATTTTTTTCTTTGACTGACTTGATTCTCCTACATTTGTTTTTTCAATTAGTTGTTTGGTTGTTGCAAGAAGTTCTCCGTCTTCTGATTCATTTGGTTTCGTGGAATGACAATCTAACTTTTTGTTTAGTTCCTTTTTGGTAATTTTCTCCTGTAGAGTATTCTGAACGGCATTATACAGATTTGTATCAATAGCTAGACACAAATGTACATCATCTATCAAATTCCTAACAATTTCTGATTCCTTACGCTCATTCATCTTTGAATTTAAAGTTACAAACAAATTCTTATGTTTACTGTTTAAGTGATCATCAACGAAAAATAATGCTGGCATATTTTCTTTGCATCTAGAGCAGATGTATATCGCTGTCTCGTTGGCGTACTTGTCGTTTCTTATGTGGATATCTCCAACATGTACTTCTATTAAGCGTAATCTCTTCTTGCTTGCCTTTAGTAAAGAATAAAATGTCTTGTGTGGTAAATCTTTCGTCATTAAAGGTTTTGCAGTTTCTTTGAATCCGAGGATACTCTCATTACACTGGTTTGTAGCATTGGGACTTCTTTTGTAACACAAGGAACAATCAAACAAATTTTTGATTTCGATTTGTGTAATATGTAGAAGGTCAGTCATGTGAGACAAAAGAAGGGGATCAACATTACAAGCACTGTACGTACATGACTTTGACGACCATTTTCTAGAAAAATACTGACTTCTGTCAAATACGTTCTGTTTTTCACTTGTTTCCTCGAACCTTTCTGGTTTGTGCACATCATTTAAAGTTTTTTCGTTGGTTTGTATCGATGTGATGCTCGGACTCTCACCTCCTTGCCACAATATGTTATCAATGTTACTTTTGGGATGAAGACTCATAACATCAACTATTCTTATGCCAAGCGCATTATTGAACACCGCTTCACCTGTTAATTCATTCAGTGCATTATGAATGGGGTTGTCCCTGCAAAATTTAATTATTGATTATTATTTATTGTGTACAATATAGATAAGGGTTTTAGCATTGCACTTTACAAAATATCTGGACGTGTAGAATCTAACTATTTAACTGAAAGACTCGCAAAGTATAAACCTGATATCTTTGATGAGTTTTTTTTTTTTGTGAAGTTATTACTTCATTTTGAAAACTAAATGTTGACAGCACGAACCCAAACAAAAAAAAAGGATAAACTCAGTTGCTCTGCATTTTTAAATATGAAGTTTTATATATTTTGTCACATAATTTTCTTGTTACATGATTAATTAAATAATGTGTACAAAAACGAATTAAACATCAATAAAACAATAAACTACAATATGCTAATGTTATTAAATAAGGGCGAGGATACCAAAGGGGTAAGTAATATATAGTATATTAACTGAAGACAACTGACAACACCCTGGTAAAAAGAAAAAAAGGATGAACAGAAAGAATAAATAATGCAATTAAAGTACGCAGGACGAAAATAGAACTAGAAATATTGAGAATTTGAGTGCTTCAGATTACGTTTGATAAAAACTGTTCATTAGGCAGTATATTCATTAAGTTTTACGGATGCCTTCAAAAGTTTGTTGGCCGTTATAGAATAACTGAGTCATAGATGACCACAAAAATGTTCCAATTGTCGTAACCACAATCCTGTCCTCGTTTTCTCAATTGTGAAATCATCGAACGAGGCTTATCACCGGATTTGTAATTAAACAAGACGGGTGTCATATGTGTAACAGGGACTGCTAGCCCTTCCGGAGCACCTGAGTTCTACAACGTTTTGATTTAAACCACATGATTCATACCACTGCTGATGGACTGTTAGTACTACAAAGAATTGTTCGTCTAATAGTCCATAAATCAGCACTGTCCGTGAAATATAAATGAAATCTGCATTTTGAAAAAAATGCCGGTAGATAATTTCTGTAATTGTTTTAACGAAACTGACACTCAAGAGTCCTCGTGTCAAAATTAACCTTAGTCTAACAGTTTTGTTGATATATTTTATACTTTTTTTCTACTTCGTTTATCAGATTATGTTTCGTGTGATGGTTAATCCGGCTTAAGTAATATTTGGTGAAGCATATTTTTCAATGAGTCACATATTGGTCTATGGACTGAAAATAATGCATTCAATGTACAGTTAATTGTCCGGAAATTATTCACATTCTAGGATTACGAAAGAAAAGAACAAATTGTTTTCATTAGTTACGGAATGGAAGACTTGTAAACGCGTTTCATTTACATAAATTTATCTATTTACTTTTCATAACTAGTAAACAAATTCAAAGCCGCCAAGCTTACCTTTTATCTCCTTTCTCTATTCCTTCATTCGGGGTATTTTTATCCGGTTTTTTTTCCGAAATTTCTGTTCTGTCTTGTGTCTGTTCTTTTACAGTCGGAAGGAATTCTTCCTGTTTATTTTTAGTGAAGTCATAGTTATTCCGCTGAACTATTTCGTCTTCTGTAACTGTACTGTCTGCTTCAGTGCTAACGACATAATCCCTATCAGAAAAGCTCACTTTATTACAAGTTCTTTGGCTATTTTCATTTTGAATATATTTATCCCTTCCCTCATGTGGCTTGATGTTGGCATTTCTAACATTATAGAAACCTGAGACCTGTCTGTATTGAATAATCTGGTCCGGATGTTCAAACTGGAAATGGGGAATAAGTCCTTGTTTGTAGCCATGAATTGTTTTGTCACATAATAAGCAAATGTAGAGAACGATTTTATTGTGGGTTTGTTCTATGTGTTCATTTATTGAAACAAGACTTTCCTTTGAAAGGTAGCAATAACAACAACAGAAGCATTCGCTTCCTTTCTTTAAAGCTTCGAAATCCCGTATTCTTGAAAACGATTTTATTGTTTGGTGTGATTGTTTCATTTCATTATGATAGTCTTTCTCTTTCACTGGAAGAAGAGCTATCAACTTAGAGTCCTTTTCAGCATGACAGTGTCGTGAATGTCGGAATGCAACATTTCTGGTCGGAAAGATTACTTCACAATCCGTGCATTGAAATGGAGTATTTAAGAAATGAATATCAATGGGTGACTCCGTGAGATTTTGCTTTTGAGACCTAAAAGAACTGTTCTTATAATCACAGCTTAATGTATACTCTTTTGGTGGTTCACAGCGCTGCAAAGTTATGTCAGATTCTCCGGATACAGAAATATTAGCATGATTCAAATCACAAAACATTTCAGCAATGTCACTACTTTCTTTCAGTAGAGAATAAACTGTCTTGTGGGGTACATCTTTCGTCATTAACGGTTTTGTAGTTTCTTTAAATCCCATATTACACTCATTTGACTGACTTCTTTTGTCCACCAAGTTTAGTGTATGTTTCATATTAAGTTGATCAAATACTCTTTCGCCTGTTAAAACCGGACCATGACTAGCCATTTCTGATTCAGATATTTTAGACAATTTACTTTTCTTTTGATAAGCTTTAACATATGATACAAGCTTTCTTCTTTTTATCCTGCATTGTCTTTTCATGAAAATTGACTTTAAACTGTTGTACGAAGACGCCAATTTGTACAAATATTCATTTTTGGTAAATATTCTATTCGAAGATTTTTTCATTGTTTTCTTCTCAGAAAACTTTTTATTTATGACGCTACTCTTCTTTCGCGAATAGGTGGATTTTGATTTTGGTATTTTGTCATTTTTATCTTCAAATATTTTCCCAGCTTGTAATAACTTTCTCGAACCATCCCTCAAATCACTTTCAGAACATTTCATGACGTCAGTAAGAGTAACAGAGCATGGTTTACATTCAAATATAAATCTCAGGTATTCGTCCTCCGGTTTGGACTGTATACAAGGAAGTAGTTTACGTCGATATTGCCTTTCCCATTTTCCATTTCTTCCTTTGAAAAGATAAAGACGGTTATCCATGCTTGCTTTTACTTAGATAGTATTCTCGTTATGTTAAGTTAAAAGTGAACATCAACACATCAACAACAACAACATGAAACGAATATCCAAGGACGTTAATGTTTCCATCCATTACATTAAATCATGTTCATTTTCACCTGTAGTAGATTATATAGAGAACTTGTAAAATTCTCTCAATCCATCATTGACGTCCTCCATCTATACATCTTATTTTCTGCACATACTTCCTGGATAGAAAGAACAAAGTTTTGAGTTATTGATTTTAAAAAAGGATTTCGTAACAGAAATATTTTCAATGTGTCACAATAACATGTGTTGCACTTGTCATTTTTTCAATTGTCAAATAATAAAATTTATTATGTATAACAGAACATATATGTTTATCTTTATATAATATTTATTCATATGTCACAATAAAATTTAATTCTGGCATTTATTTCCTAGTTTCTTCAAACCAAATATGATATACAGCAACAAACACTGTGCGGGACAAATTTGCCATTCCGGAATTGGCAAATCCGACTTTGTTGTTTTACAAGATAACAGAAATATTTTTTGGCCAAGTGATAGATAATTGAAAAAAAATAATTTTTCCATATGTCCCAATATGTCACTGCTCTGTCACTGGTGTCACAACAGCTGATCAAAAGTACATTTCTCATTGGAAATTTAAGAATTCCCATTGGAGCATAAAAAGTTCCCATGGGAAAAGGTACATAGGAACTATAAAGTTCCCATGGGAAAACAAGAATACAAAAAGTTCCCATGGGAATTTAACATTTATACCTTCTATGTGAACAATTTTGTCTTCCCATGGGAACATATAATTTACAATAGGAACATTTTTTATATTTAATGTTTTTCTCCTAGAAAAATCAAAAATTGTTGAAAAACAGGATTTATGTTTAAATTATTGCAGTAAGCAGGTTTTCAACAAAAATTAGAAATTGTTGAAAAACAGGATTTATGTTAAATTATTGCAGTGAGCAGGTTTTCAACAAAAAAAGTATGCCACCAACGATATTTGAAAATAAATATGATTAAGAGGAGATTTCGGTATAACGAAACCGCAATCCAACAACACAAAATAGCTTATGTAGTCGTTTCAAAAATCAGCAAAGTTTAAATAGATACTATGACAAAGTTTCCATCAACTCTAAATTCACTAAATAAGAAATAAAACTTTAAAACATGGCAAATGATAACCCTGGTTATCACTGGCAAAGTTCCAGGTTGGGGACAGGACTATAAAGATACGTTGAGGTTCAACTTATTAAAAGTTGATTCTTAAAGGCAATGTAGAGGGCTTGATAATTATATAAAGAAAAATGTTCAAACAAGAACAATTTGATCTAATCTCGCAATATGAGAAACAGCAGTGACTGTATTTTTCTCCTTTTTTCAACTTTCTGGTGATATACAATGAATCTCTTAGTTTTCTTCTATCATTGTCTATAAGTTTAATTACAACAAATTGTAAGTTGTAAAATAAACAAAATACTTCCACATAGCAGAATTTATTACACAAAATGTAATTCATACTGGCATTACAGTTATATTGCACATTAGTTTCAAAATTATATATTGTCCTTATCTTTAACAGTCTTTAACTGAGAGATTTGAATTTTGAGTTGGTTTTTTTTTCGTCAGCACGAAATGTCAAATCCCACCCGTCCAAAAAAAGCATGCATTCTCATTTATACTTTTTTACAGTCTTAAACTTGTTTCATACAGGGCATATTCTAGTTTAAAATTCGAAAGTAATAAAATTGTCAGGATAGAAATTCATGTGTTTGGTTGTCGTTAGTTCGTGTCGTCATGTTTGTTTTTCGTAAATTGTATTGTATAAATTAGGACGTTAGTTTTCTCGTTTGAATTGTTTTACCTTAATCTTGTCGGGGCCTTTTATTATAGCTGACTATACGATATGGGTGTTTCTCGTTGTTGAAGGGCGCATGGTGTCTTATAATTAATTTATCTTTGTCATTTGAAGTCTGGTAGATAGTTGTGCCACTGGAAGTCATACCACATCTCCTTATTTTTCTAGATTAACATTTTTGAATTGAGAATAAATAAATTTGAACCATGCAAATGATATGTATTTCTTAGTACCATGAAGCTAGTCAAAACGTCCCTTTGATATTTTGTCTTCCTAATAAAAATGTTTAACTATTGATGTTTTACTACAAATGTATTCAATATGTAAAAGTTTAAGTAGATTCTATTTTTAAATCTTTGTAAAAAAATTATCTAAAAACTAAATTATTACTTCTTGACCTTCAATTTTTCCTGTGACCTTCAGTCCTACCTTCTTAGTGATGAATGTAGGGATAAAAGTCATCGGAAAAAGTCACAGAAAAAGCCATTGAAAAAAGTCACAGGAAATAAAGTCAAAATAATAAATTTATAAGTTATTGTTGAATTATTTTTTTACCATGTATTCTTTTAAAAAAACATTACAACCTTTAAAAATGATTGATTGTATTTAATTTGTATTTTATTACAGAACTTACCGGAAAATAGATGAGAATGTATTCAAAAACAACTTTATTTCCAGTGCATAGAAATGCCGCAATTTTTTATTTTTTTAATACAAAATACAAGACCCATAAAACAAAAAAACCTAGAACGTGCTGAAATAATGTATACATGTTCAACCTGTATACACGTGCGTAATAAACTGGTCCTGGTTGAATGAACAGGAATTTCAATCGATTACAGGTGACAATCAATTGATTGTGGCACGTGTCGATAAAACATTATATAACTTCGTAATCATGGTAATTACTCAAAATATGATTATAAAATTTGGAGTTATTTATTTATTTTTTTTTTTTTTAAATAATGTAGTTCTATATTTCATGTCATCCCTAGTGCGAAATCCGGTTCTAAGTGCAAATGCCTTTGCGGTATTTCAACGGGCCCCCTTATTTCAACATTTTAATTTCTTCCGTCTTATATTCTGTATACAGGCAGTTTATGTAGATGATTGACAGGAAATAAAAAAAAAATATTAGTAAATTGAACTCATATAATAAGTCTTCTCTATAACTTATGTTCTTAACATAGCACCACTTTTACTGGGCCAAAAGACAACTAAAACACAAACGCATGTTTGTCGGCTAGCTTGATGCTTGTATATTTTCTGAGCTACCGATTTTATTCAATAAATATATACAAACGTGTCACATCAATACACATTAAAACTGTGGCAATCATAATGACTTCTTATATCTTCTACTTATATCTAATTGTTTCGTGGCCGACCAGGAACAACTACTTTTAGTGTCCTTTTGTCAATGCCAGGCGAAACCCTAAGTGTTGGACCTCACATGATATAAGAACGTTCAAAAAACATTAAAGAAAACATTTAAAAGCAAAAAATCTCCTATCAGTCAAAAGACTGTGGCTATATGAAAATATTTTGAAGGCAGAAATGAGCCTGAATAAATAGATTAGAGTACGTTTGTATAGCCATACGACCTTATATATAACAATTTTTTTTTTAACTTTAATGCCAATTTGAATACACTTTTAAATTATTAACGTTAAATAACGTACATGTTAAAAGATTTGATGTTCACTCGAGTAAAGCAGAGCTAGAAATGACCATATATACACCTATCATTTAACACAATAATTTTTCCCGCCCAAAAAATTCATACGCCTTCGAACTTCTACGTGAGAAGACAATTAATTTCCTTTACACTACATGCCACGGAAATTAGAAAGTCTCTGTTATTGTTTTAAAAACTATAAATGGACATGGACTAGTAACGTTTTCTGTTCCTTTTTTTTCCTAAATATACATGTACCAAATGTAACGTGAAAGTTTGTTACTTTTTCATGTGACCATTTTTTTACAGTGAATTATTTCCGTTTACCTTGTTGATACATTAATGGCGTACATTTTGTACATATTCCGGCTTGGAGTTATGTGTTAAAGCAATACCGTATGATGATTTTAACTTATTTTAGACTGAATTATGTAAAGTTATGTGTATTCATATTCAATTTATTCAGCACTATCAATACGTTTTGTATTACATAACTTCCCAGATATCAGTGTCATCACCTTCAGTCCCTGTACACTCATATTAATTAGCTGTGAATTGGGAGTTTACGGAACAATTTCAATTCGTCAAATGAAAGTAAGGTATTGATTGATTGATTGTTGGTTGCTTAACGACCAGTGACAAATAGTTCATGCATGATCAGAACAACATGATATTTGAAATGCAAACACGCAAAATTGAGTAACAATTAATTCAGTAGAACAATAATATTGTAGCACAAATCAACCGATAAACATTAATTGTCCTATCAACGTACATAAAATTTGGTCTCAGTTTTAAACTACAACCCCCTCTTTTTCCGGCTCTATCAAAATGTTTGGGCAGTTTAAAATTTGCAGACTCGCAATAAATCTGATCAAAATACTGATACAATGAGAAGCGTGCAGACACAGGCTGTCTGTATTTCAATCAGTTTAACTTTGAACTAATTGTAGCAACGATTGTTTTCAAAGAACCGATTGTAATGCTAATATAAATAAGAAGATGTGGCATGAGTGCCAATGAGACAACTATCCATCCAAGTCACAATGTGTAAAAAGTAAACAATTATAGGTCAAAGTACGGCCTTCAACACGGAGCCTTGGCTCACAACGAACAGCAAGCTATAAAGGGCCCCAAAAAGACTAGTGTAACACAAAACTGTTTCTATATTTGATCTGTCATGTCGGAAATTACTGGATGACTTTCACAGTCGGATCATGTGCAAGCAATTAAATCCCGACATTTCACAATTGTAAAATATGTAAAATGTAACAATTACTTACTACCAACATCGACTGTTTTTAGAAATAAGAAGATGTGGTATGAGTGCCAATGAGACAACTCTCCATCTAAGTCACAATATGTAAAAAGTAAACAATTATAGGTCAAAGTACGGTCTTCAACACGGAGCCTTGGCTTACATCGAACAGCAAGCTATAAAGGGCCCCACAATGACTAGTGTAAAACAATTCAAACAGGAAAATCAACGGTCTAATCTATATAAAAAACGAGAAACGAGAAACATGTTTATACAAACCTAAACCACTATTACATGAAGGGGTTGACACTCTTTTGGGATGTGGGATAAAGGGGGTAAAAGAGAGTGGGGATGTGGGATAAAGGGAATAAAAAAGTGGCAATGTGGGATATCGGGGTT